ATTTATGACGTTAGCTAAGTAAAGGATTAAGTGCATTTATCGTGGCAATGTATAAGGATTTAAGTGCATTTATCGTGGCAATGTAATTGAATTGAAGTGAGTTTAGAATAAAAAGGAAAATTATTAAAAAAAGGACTTAATATTAAGTTCAAATAAGGTTTAAAAAGCTCCAAAAATTATTAAGGGAAATTCAAATTTTTATTAAAAAGATTTTAATTATATTTTTAGTTAAAATATTATATGTAAACTATTAAGATGCTAGGGGAAAGCCTTATTTTTATCAATAAATCCCTTGCAGGACTTTAAAATGCAGCTCAATGCGGGGACAACACAATATAGGTTCCAATTCTCAGGAAATTGGAATTCTTTTGTTTTGTCCTTCAAATCGAGCTGCTTTGAAGACAACAATATAACCATGTTCGTTTTTAAAAGTATGATGAATTAGCTGAAGATCAATTAGTTAAAAAAGATGAAAATTGTGTTGGATGGTCAGGATGTAATTAAAGAATTTCAAAATTGCCTTTTGTTCATAGGAAATTCAAAGAAAATTAGCTAAAACGACCAGAAGAAAAAAGAAGTTACTTGAAGCAAGAGAACTAGACAGAGCACAAGAGAAATTCACAGAGGTAGTTTGTAATTTTAAAGCAATTCATTCAAGATTGTGTTTCTTCGTACTGTACTTGAATCAATGTGGAGCGAAGGCAATATGGTTCACAAATGAAATTATGAAAGAATCAACTGGCAAAAAGTAATTTTAATATAGGCCTTTTTAATAAATCCTGCAATGCTTTATTTTGTGCATTTCACATCAAATTTTCTAGTTTCAATTTTTACTCTTAAAAGAAAAGGAATACAATAATTATTTGTTAAAGGTGAAAATAATGCATTGTGGAAGTTGTTAACATAGGGGTCTATAAAAAAATGTTAATTTATTTGATATAAAAATTCCATGTTTTATTGTAATATAGTTAGGGAATATTCAATTATTTTTTATTGCACAAAAACTAAAAGTTTTCTCCTTTGCACTCTCTCATACATGTAAAGGGATAATAAATTATTCTATCTCTTTCCATTGTAACTTTGGTCTTTTTCTGGAGAGCTTTGGAAATTAGAATGAAAATGAGAAAATCTCCCATTTTTCCTAAACCTCTCATCCTTTGTCCCTCCTCTTCAAAATTAATAGGGAAAAAACAAAACTTTCTTGGTGGGACATTTTTTGCTACCATTGCAATTCCTTCTTTCCCTCAGCATTTATTTTTTATCTGTAAATTTATTCATTATTTTCATTCATATGGTATGATTTTAAATTTAGCATATTAACGATGAAATTTTGAATGGTATTTTAGCTTGAAGAAAAAATGAAAGTCCAAAAAATGAAAAGAGCACAAATCCAAGCAGAGATTATTTCAAAGCAACGAAGAAGAGAACTGCGAGCACAGCAAGTGAGGGCAAGAGCAGAAAAAATAAGAGAAGGAGGAGATAATGTGGAGCTTGATCTTGATCCTGATAATACGTACAATGCTGATGAAGAAGGTATAATATTAAAATTTATTGAAACCCTGAAACAACCTCTGGATCAAAGTYWVCAGGGGCRGATCCAGGATTTTTTCAAAGGGGGGGTTGTAGCATTGATTGAGGTACTTGTTTGGCGGGAAAGTAGCACAGGGTTCCCAAACGGAAGTAGGCCTTATGATAAAGATAAAAAAGCAAACGAAACACGTTTGGAACCCCTGTTTTAATAAAACTTGCAATGCTGTTGGTGTTGTCATGGGAAAAAAAAAAAAAAATCATGATGGCTTTCATGGGGGGGTTGCAACCCCCAAAACCCACCCCTAGATCCGTGACTGGTCAGGGAGGCACGTATAACGCAACAATAGAAGTAACCTCTGGGCTGCATGATCTAAGCAGGGGCATGGCTAACTCACAGATTGAACCCTGAAACAACCGATGGGCTGATCAAAGTCAGAACGGCACGTCTAATTCACAGATCATACACTAAAATAACCTCTGGTCTGATCTAAGCAGGTGCACATATGACTCACAGATTGAACCCCCAAATAACCTCTGTGCTGATTGATCAATGTCAGGGCAGCACAGCTAATGAAATTTATGAATGATTGATTTTATTGCGTAAAAAGTTAAAATTCAGTTAAGATTGAGTTTAAATTTGTGACTTGTTAATGTTCCACAAAATTATTCAAATAATACAAGTTGCATGAATTCTAGAAATATTGACGTGTGTTAAACAAGATGCAAGAGTAATCAAGTTTTTAGATTTCACCTTTGTTTGCTTATTTCTTCAACAGACCAATCATGGGACACTGATAAAACTGAGACCAACCCAAGTAGTATTTCACTGCCGAGCAGTAGTATAACACAGATACAAGAACAAGACGAACCAAAGGCAAAAGAGATAACAGATAACACAGAACAGTCTGTTCATGATTTTTTTGAAGAATAATCTCAAGTAACGTTGTTATTTAAATTTAAGCTTATTTATTTGATATTGATAATGCATTATATTATTTATTAAGATTTTCTCTCATTATAAAAAAGATTTAATTTCTTTAYAGTATTTATTGAAGAGCAATGTAATTTTTTAGACAAAATTCAAAAGCTAGATGCACATATTTTAAGCTCATCTTAACACGCGATTTCTTTGACTTCAAAACCCTTCATTTACAAACTTCAGTTTGAAAAAAGAGCGACTTTCAAATCTAAATGAGTTACAATATAGAATGACATCAAATTGGGTATACATAAGACCCAAATGCTATAAAATAAAGGGTCATATCAAAGAATTTGCCGTAAAAGATAGGAGATTTTTAGGGGAATATTTTGAAGAGTAAATAAAAGACAGTAAATCTGAAAGCAAATATTTTCATTGAGATTTTTTAAACTCAAACTTCATGACACGTGCAAAGAATAGCACGAACATTTACCAGTTTGTATAAGATAAATGGATAATTGGAAGAATGGAAAATGGATAAAATGAATGAATGAATGAATGGCAAAAACAATGGTTTAGAAATAAGTCTGAAATCAGAATTCTAGAGTTACTATAAACTTTATACAAATTAAATTAAGTGAACTAAGTATTAAAGTCATTGAAAAGCAAAAGTACTCACACAATTATGATAGTTTAGATTTTACCATAATATTATAACAATGCTAATTTATTTTTATAGAGTGAAAAAATAAATAAAACTTTATAATTTTGAGAGCCATTTATACTGTACATTTGATTAATCACTAGCACTATCTTTAAAACGCATGATATGAAGTTCTTTAATATCGTACAATTTTAAGAACTTGATAGCACAATGTTTTATCAATAATCTTTATCAAACAATCTTCTTCTTTGTATTACAAATAGCATATAAAGTATGAAATTGTTGATCATTTTTGTGCATTTTTTTATCGCCTCATGGAAATTACACAATATAAAACATTATTTTCATGGTATAACATTTACCCTTTTTTCATTACTGTTTCATTAGAAACATCGGTGCAGAACATTAATTCATCTAGTCTTACCAAGTGGGATATACAGTAGAGAAGAGGATAGTATACTTGATAGTTATCTTGCAGCAATCATTTTGACTGTTATAGGCTGAAAATTTATACAGATACTTCATTGAAGATGTTTTTTCTTTTGTGAAATATATTATTACATACTATTGTTCTAATCAGTAATACAGCTATACCATACCACTGTCAATACCACTACCATCATCAACACTACCAGGTAGAAACAATAAACCACATTTGTGATAAGTAAGCTAGTGTAGTGTAGTGTAGTGTAGTGTAGTGTAGTGTAGTGTAGTGTAGTGTAGTGTAGTGTAGTGTAGTGTAGTGTAGTGTAGTGTAGTGTAGTG